AAGGTTCTTGCTCCTTTGCAAGGGGTGCGTGACTGTCTCCGGGATTGCATTCCTGCCACACTGTGTAACTCTCTCAGCTTTGTTTTCCTTCTCGGGCAACCGTTGGATGAATGACCGGATTGGATTTCGGCGGCGTGGCAGCGATCTCTCTATTCAGTTGGGGCGGAGGGCATATGTCAGGCACCAAAAATCAATTTCATGTCACATCCTTCGCTCCTCATGCTTTTGTTTCTTGTCCTCACGTGGTCAGCTCCCCGCTGACTGAGCAGCGTGACCAGCATCATGTTCGCGCTTGAAGAATAATTCCCCAAAAGGTTTACTGTTAGGGCTTCTCACTTCTTTCTTAAGATGTGTCCCCCCGCTCTGTACTGCTGTGTCCGTCTCTGCCTTGCAATCCTTTACATTTATCTCCCAGCTCTGGACGTCGCAAGCTCTAGTTTCGATTTTGAAAAACACAAACTGTTTGGGGCCTACGGTGGTGTAATGTTTCACTCTGTGCGCTTTGGTTACAAGGATGATGCCCAGTCTGCAATCATCCAGATCGGTAGCACCCCGAAAGCCCAAAGACTATATAGATAGGGGTTTAACTTAAGTGCAAAATGTGAGGGCAATCCCCATGTATATATATATATATATGATTGTATTGCACAATGCCGACTTTGCCCTGTTTCTTGCTAGCATGCGGCCAGCTTCGTGGTAAGCCTATCGCCTATCATACCACTTGTTGTTTGCTTGTCAACCCGGGATCAGCAGCATGGTGCAAGTTCCAGGCCACAGCTTCGATGTATGCGCATGTAATCACTTTGGTCACATTTATCCCCAAACAGTTTACTGTTAGGGGTTGTCAATTCTTTCTTAAGATGTCACTGTTGGTGTCCGCCCTCTTTCCGCTGGCCATGCAGCATTTCTATTCATTTGTCTCCCAGGCTTTTCCGCTTGGCGATGCAGCATTTCTATTCATTTGTCCCCCATGTGATTTCTTTACTTTTGTCTTCTACATTCCGTGCCTACACTGCTGGTGTCTGCCTTTTTCCGCTGGCCATGTGGCATTTCTATTCATTTGTCTCCCAGGTGATTTCTTTACTTTTGTCTTCTACATTCCGTGCCTACACTGCTGGTGTCTGCCTTTTTCCGCTGGCCATGCGGCATTTCTATTCATTTGTCTCCCAGGTGATTTCTTGACTTTTGTCTCCCAGGTTCGGTGCCTGCACTGCTGGTGTCCACCCATTTCCGCTGGCAATGCAGCATTTCTATTCATTTGTCTCCCAGGTGATTTCTTTCCCAAACAGGTTGCTGGTAGGGGTTCTCAATGCTTTCTAGGAGTGTCCGCCTTGCTGCTGGACGGCATGTCCGCCTTCCGTCCGGCTTGTCTCCCTGTGGGTCTGTGTCCGCCTTGTCTCCTTTTGTCTCCCTTCTTGTCTCCCTTCTTGTTGGTCATTGTGTCCGCATTGTCTCCCTTCTGTCTCCCTTTCTCTCCGGTCTTGTCTCCCTTCTTGTGCCTTTTGGCTCCCTTCTTGTGTCCCTTCTTATTAGCTGGTCATTGTGTCCGCCTTCTTGTTGGTCAGTGTGTCCGTCTTGTCTCCCTGCTGTTTCCTTTTGTCTCCCTTCTTGTCTCCCTTGGTCACTGTGTGTCCGTGTTGTCTCCCTTCTGTTTCCTTTTGTCTCCCTTCTTGTCTCCGTTCTTGTTGGTCATTGTGTCCGTCTTGTCTCCCTTCTGTTTCCTTTTGTCTCCCTTCTTGTCTCCCTTCTTGTTGGTCATTGTGTCCGT